TCATTCTCATCACAGGCCAGTTCTTGGGGTTCAGCATTTCCTTGCTCTGCTTTGCTCAGCTCTCCTCTATGTGCCTTCCAAAAACTCCCCCCTTGCTATCTGGGAGGAATCCTTTTATAGGAACCCTGGAGGCTTTAATTGGCATCAGGTGCTTAATTAACCCCAGCTGGAAGCTGCTTCCTAATTAGGCCTCTATTTTCTACCCTGGCTGCTGGGCTGTGTTCAGGTGAGATTAATTTGGAAACAAGAAAGCATTAACCCACCTTCCAATATGGCTGCCTTTTAGAAGAGTTTTGCAGTTTGCAGGCTGTGGTCTGTCACATATCCTAACAGCTTGTTCTTATCTCAGGGGAAAAGCTTCAAATCAGAGTTGATCTTTACTCTGGCCTGCATCTGCAGCTTCTTAAGTTCTCTGAATCCTCTTAGGATGGGTCAAGCAATTTGAAAGGCCAGCTGAAGGCAAAGGACTGATGGCTTCCCATTGCTTTAATGGACTTTCCTCCTGGGCAGGAACCCTTTGTTCCACACTCCCAGACCTCATGGAAAAAGACTAGGTTCAAAATGGATTCCAGTACTAGGTGGCATGGTCACATGTCTTCTTAGGACCAACAATAGTTTGAGCTTATAGTACAAACACAACCATTCACAGGTCATTGGTTTGAGTACTGAAGTATCACTAACGGGCCTTATTAGCACTTGTAGAACTTTAAAAAGATTTACATTTCAAATATCTAACTTCACGTATAAGAATTACACATGCACAAAAATAGGATACACACATTCAGCAGATTGTAACACTAAAATTGATGTTACATTGGGTATATTGTTTAAACGTCTTTAAGTTTTGCATATTCATAAACCAATTTTTATAAAGCCTGGGATGGAGGCTGAGACAGTCCTTATTTCCCTATTTATAGATTAGCATTATATTTGTCCTTTTCGACCCCTCTGAAATATCTCCCATCTTCCTGAAATAATCATTAATGGCTAAGATATCTCCTCCATTAGCTCCTTGTGTATATTAGGATGTATTTTGTCAGGCCCTGGTGACTTGAAGACATCTAACTTGTCCATTTTTAACTTGTTCTTTCTCTGTTTTAGACTCTGGCCCTACATTATTTTCAGTAGAATTCACTGTGTTAGACATCCAAGGAATGTATCCTACTTTTTAGATATAAGCTTTTAGTACCTTATCTGATTACTTAAAAGTTTATACATTCATAAAAAGGAGAAGAAAACTGAAAAAAAATTGGGTCTCCTACTGGAAGATATATGAATCTGGCCAGACTACATGCATCTTTGTTTCAAACCACATTATTGCAAACAAAACTTACTTGTTTCTCTTAGAAGAAGTGCCTAGATAATATATTCCAGAACACTTCTTGTTTCATACAGACATACAGAAACTTTTTAGAAATACGAGGATAGACACGTTTGCACAACTTTGCTCACACCAGTAATCACCAATTCAGAGCTTCAGCAAATTATGCTTATTTTTGTTTTTACAATTTTTTGACATTCAAATTTATAAAATGTAAAATAAATTAGGAATGTTTTTCTTCGGTCTGTGCATTTCCATATATACAGTGGAAATGTAGCTGCGGTCTACCTTTAACTGCTAAGCAACCTGTAAATCATTTACTGTAAAAGGAAGAAAAAGTAGAACTGGAACTGTTTGTCTACAATATTTGTGCTCTGCATGCAAAATGAAAAACTCTTATTTTAAATTAGCTGGGCCATATGCAGTAATATGACAAGGTAGAGCCAGAAAACATTAAGAGTAACATTATTTTTTATACAAATTCTTATTCTGGGTACATATATTTTCCGTACTCTTACAGTCAGAAAGCTGTCAAAAAGAAACATGTCTGCCCTTCCTTAAAACAAAGAAAGAAAGAACCTCCCCCCCACACACAGTGTAGGTGTTAAGGAAATGAAATCACGCAGGCAAACAGAGTACTAATTTTTAAGTAAATTGCTGGTTTTGATCTGTGCTTAGTGGACCACTACATCTTGTCATTAGTTAGTTGAGCTACCCAATTTAAATAACCAGACTTGATTCTAGATTCAATTAAACTGAGGTCCCATTAATGAAAAAAAAATTACTTCCTACAGTCCTACATTGACAAACAGTCATTACTTAATGTGGGTTGGGAATTGAAGGAATTAACAGTGTAAATTTTTAGTTAAATTAGACACAATGATTTACTGATACATGCTGGTTTTATTAATTTAATTGAAAACATTCAAAATACAATTGCTCTCAAACAGGTTACCTCTCTATTTGTAATTCAAGAAAATTACTCCTACATGTCAACTTGAAAACCACAACATGCTTTTAATTTTGGAAAACTGTAATCTGTTAATGAAATAAAAATCCTGAAAAAAGACCCATGCAATATTCAAACCAGTATTTTCGGATTTTTCTCATGCTGCCCACGCTTTTGGAAACAAACTATACGATTTATTTAAGTATATGGGTTGTTGTTCAAGTGAAGATACTCATTTATATTTATTGAGTACATTAAAAATAATCTGTTTTTGAAACCTGTATACTAATCAGTCTTTATTCTTGGGCAATAAAAGTGTACACCTCCATGGACCTACTTTTGCTCCCTCAGGAGGCAATGTTTTACTATAGCCTTCAGTGGGAACAGAACTGGGCCTAAAAGGTGACTACCAGAACATGCGTGCACCTATATTTTGCATGCCGCTAAAAAAGTGTCTATGTGTTTATTAAATGAATGGAAGATATTATTCAAAGAGAATTCCATGTTCACGTCTTTGCTAAGACACCTAGTGATGCATACCTGTTTATCAATAGACAGGTTAAAGTAGAATTTCTATCAATAATTTTTAGTTCAGGTATAAAAAAATTAAATAGCGCAGTTAAGAATTCTCCAAGTGCCCTTTATGGAAAGGCATCATGGTATCCCTGAACTTTAAAACAAAAATTCACTTAAAATTCTAGGGTGTATAGTGGAATTTTTATTCAAACATATAATTAAGTGTCTTGTGACACTAAACTAGAAAAAACTGTTATATGAAGAATGAAATAAAAATAAGGAAGAATTAAAATCCTAAGTATTTATCTGAAATAATATTTTAAAACAGTCCTACTATTTTTTGTTTATTAACCATTTTTCATATTAGGCATGAGATTACCAACACACAACTTTAAATTAATGTTCTCACATTTTGTTGCTATTCTTTAATGGAGATCTTTTAACATTACAGAATTGTTCAAAAGGAGGAGCCATTCTTTTGTAGCAAGATATTAAAGGACCTGGGGTGAAATTCCTGACAGCAAGACTTCAATTGACTTGAACAGGCCAGGATTTCACCCAGGATTTCTAAGGGAAGGCAGACGTCGTAGTCAAGCATTGGTTTTTTAAATGGTCTGACATAAAACCTAGTTACCTATGTAGTAAGGATGATGTGATCGAAGCTATACTTCCAGACAATATCAGCACAATTTGCAACATTTTTCACCCATAGTGCCTTTCTTTTAAACTTCACCATATTTCATACAAATATCTGTCAGTTTTCCAAATGCCTGAGCTCTACTTGTAACTGAGGTTGTATATACAACATTTTGCATATACAACCCTGCATGTTGCAGAGACGAACATATCAACACATGGACGGCCATCTGGGAACTATTCAAGGATCCATTTAGTCCACTACCCTGACTCTGGCAGAATTCAGATCCCTGCTGGTTAAACCCATATGTTTCAGAGGATGGCCAGAGAATTCTGTAGGAGGAACTCTGTGGAACTCTCTCCCCCATGCCCCACTCCTCGCTGGAGGTCTCAATCCTGACCTCTCTCATAGTTAGGCTGGCTAACGCAGCTCTTTGATCATTTTGTTGCCCTTCTCTGAACCCCTTCAGTTCCACAATATTCTCTATGGATTCATCACTGACTTAAATCAAGACATAAAAGTTTCGCTACTGTTTCCATCCTCCTGCTTACGGAGCTTAATATTTTGTCACCTTGTTTTGACTGCAGCTGTGCATTATATTGATGTTTTCACCGAGCTGCTTTAATAATGATGCTTAGATCCCTTTCTTGGGTTGAAACAATTAATTTAGAAACCAGTAAGGTAAAAGAGTAGTGTACATTTTGTCTGCCAATGTGCATTATTTTGCTTTATTGACACTGAGCTTCATTGTGTTGTCCATTCACCAAGCTCTTTCGGGTCTCTTTCAAGTTCCTCACAGTTCTCTCCGGTTTTGACCAACCTAAATAACGTTATCATCTGCAAATTTTATTACCATGTTATTTACTCACCTTTCCAGCTCATTAATGCATATATTTAACACCACCACGGGCTTTGGCTCTTGAGGCTCCTCTGGCTCTTACTCGAGGCCCCTCTGTTAACATTTTGCCATGATGAAAATTTGACCATTTAATCCTCTTGGTTTTCTGTCTCAGACAGTTTTTGATCCCAGAATGTACTTTGCCTCTCACCTTGTGATTATTTAGTGTCTTTATTAGCATTTAGCCTTTTTTGCAGAGCCTCATAGAAGTCTAAATACATGAGGTCAATACTTTTTTTATGCACTACTTTAAGGATACATTCAAAAATTCTAATAAATCAATGAAGCATGATTTTTCCTTTAAGAATCCAAGCTGGTTAAACCCTGGAGTTCAGGATCTTCTAGATGGTTTTGATATTCTATTGTCAAAACACCCAAGCATACATAATCACACAAATATTAGAATTTCCACCCACAAAACTCATTCTGATGGATTTTTGGTTCTAAATTGCAGAACTCTGCATGCATGTGTGTTAGAATTGTTCAAGTCTGCATACATCTTTGCACCTATAAAATCAAGTGCATTTATGTATACATACAATTTTAGGCATGCACAACTCGTATTTGGGTGAGTAAACTAGACCCTTAAAATGTATTATAGGACACATCAAGCTGTATCTACCGGCATGCACATCATATTATTATGCATTACACACATAATTTTAGTATTACAGCATACCTGACTCAGATGAAGTTAAGGGTTGACGAAGTTTACTCATGTTCAGCAGTTGCGTTACTTGTGGCACATCTGTATTTAGCTGACAGGTTCGAGGAATAGTATCCATGGGGTCATCAGCTATAAATACAAGACCAAATATATGTGACATTAAAGACAAAGGCTTCACTTTTTTATAACTGGCACATGATCAGAAATAATTAATTTTTTTGTTGTAGTAAGATGAGGGCCTGAAACAAAAGCCCATGTAGCACAGGCCAGGTATGAGGCCTGAGGCCTAGCTAACAATGGACAAAATATGGCTAACATAAAGCAACGCTAAGCTGTGAGCAAGAGGCAGGCCCCAGCTCACAGAACTTGGCATGAACAGGGCTGAGTGTGTAAAACACTAATTGGTAATAGGCCCAGGTGTAGAACAGTAATTGGTACTAGGTACTGACTGAAGAACAGGAATTGGTCAAAGTTGAAGGCACATTCCAGAAGGATGGTACCACCAGCGTGTTAAAAAAGACCTTGGTACTCACACTCCCCACAGATACCAGCCCAGGTTCAGGAAAAAGTCTAAAATGACAACATGATAGGTAGAGATGATCTAATCAAAGCACAAGGTACAGGGCGATGGGTGGTATCTAAGTAGTATCAGAGGGTGGTAGCCTGACACGTCAGAAGTGATGTGTAACTCATTTGTTCCGGTATATAAAGTGGTGTCTTGGGGGGGACAGTCTTTGTCCAAACGAGGATGCAGAGGGACCTCCCACTGACTGAGCTGAGTCCATTGTTACAGGTACATATGCATAGAGGTTTGGTAGATTACTGTACTTTGCTCAACAGTAAACCTGGCCAGGCACCTTCGATTCTGATCTGATTTGTGGTCTTTATGGAATCTATCGAAGTCTCCTGTGTAGAGTAATTGCACAAGTCAACACAGAACACATGATTGAGCACACATGCATGCAACCTTCTGGTTACCACTGATGGAGCAGAAGATCTGTCAGGACACCACGACATTAAATCCTAACTTACTACATTGGTGACACTACTACATTTGTTACTTGGGCCATAAAGGTTAGCTTATATGAGCACTCATTTATAACATGTTGCTTGTGCAGCTATTGATTTTTGAAAGGATGATCTTAATTTGAAAACAACACTGTCAAATGGTAAAGGTCCCAAATGTTAACTACAATTAAACTTACTACTCTGTGCAAATAACTGGGATAACCATTCTGAATCAACAACTCCTGTGAAGCTATTGTCACAAAATGGTCTTTGTTCATTATTTTGATAAAAGTTTAGTTTCAGTTGTAATACTTTATTTTTCTGATTCTCAGACATATTGAGCATCTGAATACTGTATTGCAATCACTGATTGCTGGTACAATTACAGTGAAATCTTTGTTATCCAGCATTCTGTTAACCGGCATTGCCCCCAACCACAATACCACCATGTCTTCAGGTGTGTATGCCTGACTTCGCCTATCCAGCTGGCCATTGAGGGGCTTCTGACACCCAGCAATGCCTGCTGACGTCATCGGCAGGCGCCTCTTTCCCCCTCAGCCTTCCTTGAGGTGCCGGGAGCCACATTTGACAATAGGGGGGAGGGGCAAAGCAAAAAGATTTACCACAAAAGTGTTGTGAGCAAAACACGAGAAGTCATTCTTCCGCTCTACTATGCGCTGATTAGGCCTCAGTTGGAGTATTGTGTCCAGTTCTGGGTACCACATTTCAAGAAAGATGTGGAGAAATTGGAGAAGGTCCAGAGAAGAGCAACAAGAATGATTAAAGGTCTAGAGAACATAACTTATGAAAAAAGACTGAAAGAATTGGGCTTGACTAGTTTGGAAAAGAGAAGATTGAGAGGGGACATGATAGCGGTTTTCAGGTATCTAAAAGGGTGTCACAAGGAGGAGGGAAAAAATTGTTCTTCCTGGACTCTGAGGATAGAACAAGAAGCAATGGGCTTAAACTGCATCAAAGGAGGTTTAGGTTGGACATTAGGAAAAAGTTTCTGTCAGAATAGTTAAACATTGGAATAAATTGCCTAGGGAGGTTGTGGAATCTCCATTTCTGGAGATATTTAAGAGTAGGTTAGATAAATGTCTATCAGGGATGGTCTAGACAGTACTGGGTCCTGCCATGAGGGCAGGGGACTGGACTCGACGACCTCTTGAGGTCCCTTCCAGTCCAAGTATTCTATGATTCTATCCAGCACATTTAATTAACCCACATCCTTCATTCCCCATGAATGTTGGATAACAAAGCTTTCATTGTACTAATGTAGCAAATATTGAATTCCTGGTCAAATACTAGTATTAAACTTTGCTGAGAGTTAGGGACAAACAGAAGTTTTTATTAATTTATTTTAACCATAACAAAGGTGTATGAGCAGATTAGCAACATACAACTTTATTATGAAACAATTTAGATTTAGTAGGAAATATTTGTTCTACAGATCCTAATAGCCAAATTTTCCACCTTCATCAACTGGGTCTGTTTTTGTGTTCAATTAGTAGTTTCCACAATTATTGCCATAAAAATGCCAAAATACTAAACTAAACCACTGTCTACACCAGTGGTTCTCAACCATGATTACTCACATAGCTCTGGGGATACACAGAGTTCTTCAAGGTATACGTGAACTCTTGATATTTATTTACTTTACAACAGACTACATAAACAGCACTAGCAAAATCAGTACAAATTAACTGGTATTCATCATTATACCTTCGTTGCCTTCAATGGAGCTGATTTATACCACTTAAATATCTAGTCCCAGTTGTCTAAGAAGAGCAAGCCAACTTTGCTCAAACATGAATGCTAATTGAAAGTTAATAAATCAGTAATACATGTGTAATCTGGAATGTGGTATGGTATTTTAATGCAACTAAATTTGGGGCAATTTCCTAATTGTAAAATTTGACTAGATATGGAAAATTCATAACTGTACAGAAAATATTAATGCCTACCAACTGTACAAAAATCACGGAATGTGATAATCCCACTAAAATGCAACAGACTGCAGTTTATTAGAAGTCTCCTCATTAAATCAATCAGATTACACTATGAATTTTGCAACTAATTTAGGTCATTTTTATATACTTTTAAAAATGGTAAAAAATGGAACACATGCGTGCTGTTAATTTGAAACTAAATGAAGACAAGTACTTGGATTCTTTCCTTGGTTCATGATTAATTCTGGAATGGGCAATTTGTTCTTTGCTTTCCAAAACATAAACGCAAAGTAGCTTCATGACCTCACAGCTCTCCCCCGAAATAGTTGTTTTGTTGAAACAGGAGGTGATTTCACCACCTCCCCACTGCTCATACACCACCAATGGCCAGTGAGTTATCTGCTAGGCACTTGCTATCTAACCTAACAATAGATGAAGAAAGAGAAATTTGTCATAAGGCATCTTGGATTCTGTACATGCCCAATCCACCTTTATTTCAATACAAATTGAAATCCATTGCCATTTGTTTTTTGTCTTTTCAGTTGACAGAACCCCTGTTCAGCTGCCACTCTCATGAAAACCAATTAAAAAATTATCAATAAAATAAGCATTATCCTGTAAGAACAAAACACCTACAAATTCAAATAATCTGGATAGTCTGGCACAAACTAAAATACCGTCCTTGTGTCTTTTTGTCAATAATTCAGATGGATTAGAATTCTGTGGTGTACACTGAGTCTGGCACAGCACAAAGGTACAGTTATTTAAACCACTGATGTATCTGCACTGACCATTTTGTTCCAGAATTAATGTAATTGCAATAAATTATCTAGTCACATGATCTCCACCTCTTGGGCAGTATGAACACTTACACAGTTTTATCTTCACTATCAAGTCTTAGTTGCTACTACTCTCACTGAAGACACTGCATTACTCTGCTATTATTTAAACTGGGGTTTTTAGAAGCACCTAACGAGATTATGTGCCAAACTTCTACTGAAAGTCACGAGGCATCAGATGCTTAACTCACAGAATGCTTGTGGAAACCCTACCATAAATCTCCATGACCATTTCTTCCTGCTCCCTTTGCACTGCCAAATAGTTTACTTAACTTCTCCCTTGGAATCAAGCTCCTAATGTTCTCTGTATATCTTCTCTCCTTCTGCATGCAACATTTTTCTAGTACAGTAATGAAGTACATTCCCTCCAGATCTCTGATGAAAATACACTTCTTACATGAAGTCCTTCAATATTAATTCCTAAATAAATTTATGAAAAATAACTCTTTATAATAAATCCCTGATACCTACTAGAATCTACATTGGTTTAGAACTGGTAATCGATTTAGATGATGGCATAGAAAGGACCATTATTAAGTTTGCAGACAATACCAAGCTGAGAGGGGTTGCAAGAGCTTTGGAGGACAGGATTAAAATTCCAAATGTTCGGGACAAACTAGAGAAATGGTCTGAGGTAAACAGGATGAAGGACAAATACAAAGTGCTCCACTTAGGAATGAACAATCCGTTTCACACATGCAGAATGGGAAGTGGCTGTCTAGCAAGGAGCACTGCAGAAAGGGATCTAGGGATCATAATAGACCACAAGCTAAATATGAGTCAACAGTGTGATGCTGTTGCAAAAAAAGGCAAACACGATTCTGGGATGCATTAACAGGAGTGTTGTGAGCAAGACACAAGAAGTTACTCTTCTGGTCTACTCTGCACTGATTAGGCCTCAGTTGGAGTATTGTGTCCAGTTCTGGGCACCACATTTCAAGAAAGATGTGGAGAAATTGGAGAAGTTCCAGAGAAGAGCAACAGAAATGACTAAAGGTCTAGAAAACCTGACCTATGAGGGAAAACTGAAAGAACTGGGCTTGTTTAGTTTAGAAAACAAGACTGAGGGGGACATAAAATCATAGAATACTAGAACTGGAAGGAACCTCCAGAGATCATCAAGTCCAGTCCTCTGCCCTCATGACAGGACCGAGCATGGTCTATTTCATCAGTGACAGGTGTCTGTCTAACCTGCTCTTAGATATCTCTAGTGATGGAGATTCCACAACCCTCCTAGGCAATTTATTCCAGTGATTAACCACCCTGATAGTTAGGAAGTTTTTCCTAGTGTTCAACCTAAACCTCCCTTGCTGCAGTTTAAGCCCATTGCTTCTTGTCCTATCATCAGAGGACAAGGAGAACAATTTCCCCCCCTCCTCCCTGTGACACCCTTTTAGAGACCTGAAAACTGCTATCAGGTTCCCTCTCAGTCTTCACTTTTTCAAACAAGCATGATAGCGGTTTTCACCAAGATTGAAAATCTTTGCTACCTGGCTAAATACACGGCTCTGGTCAAGGGTCTTCTACTACCCAACAGGATTTGATGGACTTCTTTTGAATGTGACAGTTCTGCAGGATTTAATCATGAAGCTTCCACACCATGAGATGGAGGGACTCGAGGTTCGGACACTGAAGTTGACCACGGTCCTATGTCAGATCTGGAATGAGTGATAGAGTGATCGGTGTCTCTACCGACATGTCTGGAAGTAACGTGTACCACACCTGATGGGGCCAAGAAAGGGCGATCAGAATGACTCGTGCATGCTCCCTCCTCACTGTGAGGAGAACACTGCATAATAGAGGGATGGGAGGGAGAGCGTACAGAAGCAGGCCTTTACAATGAAGAAGGAATGTGTCCACTGTGGAGCCTCTCCTGTAGCTCTGGAAAGAGCAGAAATAGTGACATTGTCTGTTGAGGCGCGTGGCGAACATATCCACGAGGGGAAAGCCCCACCTCTGGAAAACTGATTCTGTTACACTTGGGCAGACCGACCATTTACAGCTGTGAAACAACTTGATGAGGTGTTTTGCCAGATCATTATACACCCTGGGCAGGTATGACACTTGCAGGTGAACAGAGTGTTTTACACGAAGTCCTGCAGTCTCAGGGCGTCCTGGCATAGGGGAGAGGAGTGTGCTTCCCCCTGACAAGACAGAGATGTTGCCAGTCATGACCAATACAGACTGACCTGCTAAGTGATCTTAAAAGGTCTGACATTCTAGCCACACTGCCCTGAGCTTCCTGACATTGATATGGAGGGGTAAGTCCGTTTGTGAACACTTGCAAGGTGGGCTCCCCATCATTAGTCTGAAGCATCCATGACTAATGTTATGGGTTGAGCCACCAGCGGAGAGAGTCCAATAGAGAGTCTGATAAAGTCACAATCATGTCCATCTTGTCTCGGGCTGTTCAATACACCTATGCTAACCATGACTGCATAGGTCGAAGCCTCAGTCTGGCATGCTGTACTATATAAATACACACCACCACATGACCTATCAGTATGAGGCAGTTCCTTGCTGTGGTAGTGGAGAACTGTCTGAGATCTTTTATATCCGAAAAGGCCTGAAACAGGACTCCATGAGGAAAGCTCTGGCCTGTGTGGAATCAAGAACTGCCCCTACAAACTCTAACTTGTGAGCAAGGGATAGAGTGGACGTCTCATTTATGAGAAGACCGCGGTTGTTGAAGGTTTATCTGATGAACTTGATATTGGCCTGCACCTGATCCTGGAATGGCCTTTGATCAGCCAATTGAGATAAGGAAACACCTGAATTTGGTGTCTGTGCAGAAAAGCATCAACCACTTCCACGTATTTTGTGAACTCTGGGTGCTGAAGAAACGCCAAAGGGAAGGACTGTGAATTGGTAGTGTACTTCCTTTGCTACAAAGCAGAGGAACTTCCTGTGGCAATGGTTGACTGAAATATGGAAATACGCATCCTTTAAGTTAAGGGTGGGCTACCGGCCTGCTGAATCCAGAGAAGGGATAACACAGTCCAGGGAAACCACGCGGCACCTCAGTTTCCTTATGAACTTGTGGAGCTCGCTGAGGTCCAATATAGGCTTTAAACTGTCCTTGGCCTTTGGTACTAGAAAGTATTGGGAATAAAACCCTCTGCAACTGAACTGATGGATCTTCTCCACTGCTCCTAATGAAAGGAGCGAATGCACCTTCTGGACCTGGAGATGCTGATGAGAAGGGTTCCTGAAGAGGGATGGGAAAGGGGGTTGGGAGAGAGGGACAAAAACTGGATAGAGTATCCCATCTCCACCGTATCGAGAACCCACCAGTTGGACATGATACGGGAAAAAGGATAGTCTTGAATCAAAGGTAAAGTGGCTTGGATCCAGGTCCAAAACTGATACACTGTCTTTTACCATAGCTTCACAAAGCCTGTTTCGGGTAGTCAACCCGTTACAGACGAAGAGCCAAAACAGTGGTGGATACGGCACAAAGAGCAGAAGGAAAAAAGTTCTTGAGCAAAAAAAAAAAAAAAAAAAAAAGCCTCAGCGGCCCTTTGAAGACAGCCATTTTGAACTCTGCACAGGATGCCGTGACTCTGGCTCTGTCTCTGTCAAAGAGAAACACGCTGCCCCTTTCAGGGCCGCGAGCCATGGGTGAGGGTATGGTAACCGTAATATTTTCTTTGAAGAGCCACATGCGGCTCGTGAGCCATGGGTTGACCACCCCTGGGCTAGAGCCTTTGTCAGAGCATTGATGAGGACTCCTCCTGCCACCCCTGTTTTTATGATGGTTGTCCTGATGGTTCTCAACCGGGGTTTTAAAGAAATGGAGGGGGGAACCCACCACGAACGCTAACTACACTGTAACTCGATACAACATTAGGAAGACTAGAAACTATATAAACTAAAGCTAAGAGAAATGGTGCTTGCAAAAGCAAGTGCCATGGGATGTTCCAGCCTACTGTCACTGGGGGTAAGAAGGAACAGAGGAGGGGGTGGGTTAGCAGAGCCATATATTTGGTGCCATGAGGGCATGACTCCAGAGGGTGCCTAGGCTGACTTGCGGACACTGCTATGGGAAAAATCTTTCGAGCACCATTCATGTACACGTGTACACACCTAACTAGAATACACATGAACAAATACTCGAAGAATAACTGCTGGAGTACAGCTAATTTACATGTTTTTCATCCTCAACAGAAACCACCTTGGGGAATGACATATCCCTTTGCAACACGGACAGCAGACACTGATAATTAAGCAAGAAGCTGTCTTCCAAATGACTTGATAAAATATTTCCATAGTTTTGCTAGAAAAGTAACAAAAGCCATTCTAAGCCTTTCGCACAGAACAGTGTTAATGGAGCTGGCACTCTATGAAATGTATACAGGGAGCCCTCGGTCTCACATCACAATGTGTTCCTCAGAATTGCATTACAAGTCTAAACATAAGTCAAAACCGTTTTGCCCATAGGAATCAATGATATAATAGGGGATTGGTTTCTGAACCGTGGCTTGATACACTATTTTCTCCACAACTCAGATTATGGTATTAAATGAATTATAGATGATTAGCACAACAACATCAAGGCATTTCCTTGGCAAACAGCATTCAAACAACATAAAACCACATATGCTTTGACTTTCCAGAACAGAGCTGGAAGAGGTGCTTTGCAGTCACTTGTCTGATTGGCTTCCACAGCCAGGATGACTTGTTGCCCGGTAGAGTTGCTCCTTGTTTTTGACTGGCTGAGCTTGGGGCCAGGAGCCCATCAGTGAATAGAGAAATCACTGGTTGGCAAAGGCCAGCAGGGCCGATAGCCACTGGTGGCCTGAGGCAAGGTGGGGGGCCCAACTCTGTGCCCCCAGACAGAGCGGAGCCTCGGGTGGAAGAGATGGGGCTGAAGTCAGTCAGCGCTTAAGGCCACCTCGAGTACGGTGCTGGGACTGCCTCCTCCAGCTCTCAGAGCCAGGTGGAGTGGTACAATGGTGCTCCCATAATGTTTCAAAGCGGCCGGGAGCTCAGGGCCTCTTTGAAAGGCTGGGCCTCTTTGTTCCCCCCATTGGTGGGCCTAGCAGAGACTCAGCAAGTGATGTGTGTTGTTCTCCTTGTCGGCTTTCATCAAAAGGGCAAAACAAGCATTGCAAGGGTGAAAAGTGTTGTTAAGTGGCATGTCATAAGTCTAAGGACTCCCTGAATAACTACATATATGTGATGCATCTATTGTCCAAGAAGTCTAGAAGAGTATGACCTAAGCACACCAGTTTTCATGAAATCACAGTTTTTCAAATTAATTCAAGGATTGTGATCAAGAAGCTTTTGTTTTTACAATATGAACAGTAATGGATTCAGGTGGCATAATATCATCTGTAACGCACCATCTTCCTCAGCTGTATCTTGAGGCTTTAATTTCAAAGTGAAGATTTTTCTCAGTTTACAGTTAGCTGAGATGATAATTCCATCCAAAGACTGGAAAACAGCTCCTTTGAATATTTCACTGGTGAATGCTACCAAGTCAATGCACAAATTGCACCACTAAAATAGAGAAACAAAACATTTTTAGTGCAATCCTTATATAAACTATTTCTGTGCAGTAACATTATAGAACCATAGTAGATGAGGGCTAGCAAGGACCTTGAGAGGTCATCTAGCCCCAAATCTGAGCTAAGGCAGGATCAAGTATACGTTAGGGCTAATAACTTTCTAATTGCACAAAACTAAACAGCTCAGCCCCACCCCTTCCATGAGGACGTTTGGGAGATTCCCAAATCTGTTCCATCCATTGTGGGTGATAAATCTGAGGAACTGTCCCGGATTGAAGTGTCATTAGAGGAGGTTTTGGAACAAATAGAAAAACTTAATGTTAACAAATCTCCAGGACCGGATGGCATTCATCCAAGGGTTCTAAAAGAATTCAAATGGGAAATTGCTGAACTATTATCTGTGGTTTGTAACCTATCCTTTAAATTGGCTTCCATACCTAATGACTGGAAGGTAGCCAACGTGACACCAATATTTAAAAAGGGCTCTCGAGGCGATCCTGGCAATTACAAACCGGTAAGTCTAACTTCAGTACCGGGAAAATTAGTCGAAACAACAGTAAAGAATAAAATTGTGAGGCATGTAGAAGAACATAATTTGTTGGACAAAAGTCAGCATGGTTTCTGTAAAGGGAAATCATGTCTTATTAATTTATTAGAGTTCTTTGAACAAACATGCGGACAAGGGGGATCTAGTAGACTTAGATTTTCAGAAAGCCTTTGACAAGGACCCTCACCAAAGGCTCTTGTGTAAATTACATGGCCATGGGATAAGTGGGAAGGTCCTTTCTTGGATTGAGAACTGGTTAAAAGACAGGAAACAAAGAGAAGGAATAAATGGTAAATTTTCAGAATGGATAGGGGTAACTAGTGGTGTACCCCAAGGGTCAGTCCTGGGACCAATCCTTTTCAACTTATTCATAAATGATCTGGAGAAAGGGGTAAGCAGTGAGGTGGTAAAGTTTGCGGATGATACCAAACTGTTTAGGATAGTCAAGACAGAAGCAGACTGTGATGGACTCCAAAAAGATCTCGCCAAACTGAGTGATTGGGCAACAAAATGGCAAATGAAATTTTATGTGGATAAGTGTAAAGTAATGCACATCGGGAAAAATAACCCCAACTATACGTACAGTATGATGGGGGCTAATTTGGCTACGACAAATCAGGAAAGAGATCTTGGCGTTATCGTGGATAGTTCTCTGAAAACTTCCACACAGTGTGCAGTGGTGGTCAAAAAGGCTAATAGGATGCTAGGAATTATTAAGAAAGAGATAGAAAATAAGACCCAGAATATCTTACTGCCCTTGTATAAAACTATGGTACGCCCACATCTTGAATACTGTGTACAGATGTGGTCTCCTCACCTCAAAAAAAAATATTTTGGCCTTGGAAAGGGTTCAGAAAAGGGCAACTAAAATGATTAGGGGTTTGGAATGGGTCCCATATGAAGAGAGGTTAAAGCGACTGGGACTTTTCAGTTTAGAAAAGAGGAGACTGAGGGGGGATATGATAGAGGTATATAAAATCATGGGTGGTGTGGAGAGGGCCGATAAAGAAAAGTTATTTATTAGTTCCCATAATAGAAGAACTAAAGGACACCAAATGAAATTAATGGGTAGCAGGTTTAAAACTAATAAAAGAAAGTTCTTCTTCACACAGTGTGTAGTCAACCTGTGGAACTCCTTGCCAGAGGAGGCTGTGAAGGCCAGGACTATAATAGAGTTTAAAGAGAAGCTAGATAATTTCATGGAGGTTAGGTCCATAAAAGGCTATTAGCCAGGGGATAGAAATGGTGTCCCTGGCCTCTGTTTGTCAGAGGCTGGAGAAGGATGGCAGGAGACAATCGCTTGATCCACCCTCTTTGGTCCACCCTCTCTGGGGCACCTGGTGCTGGCCACTGTTGGCAGACAGACTACTGGGCTAGATGGACCTTTGGTCTGACCCAGTACGGCCGTTCTTACGTGGCCCCACCCTTGTCTTATCCCTTCTCAGAGACCCTTCCCCCCACACCTGCCATTGCTTGCTCACTTCCACCCTCACTCAGTTTCACTGGGTTGGGGTGCAAGTGGAGATGAGGGCTCCAGGTGGGGCCAGAAATGAGGGGCTCATGTTACAGGAGGAGACTCCAGTCTAGGGCAGGAAGTTGGATTGCAGGATGCAGTGAGGGCTCTGCCTGGGAGTGTGGGCTCTGGCGTAGAGCTCAAGATGAGAGGTTTGGGAGCAGGAGTGGGCTCTGGGCTGGAGTGGGACAGGGGGTTGGGATGTGAGGGGGGATGTGAGGTGGCTTATGGCTGGCTGCACAGCAGGGAAGCCCCCCTGCCTGTCCTGGTTCTCTGCAGCTCCTGGAACCAGCCAACATGTCCAGGGGGCTCTATGTGCTACTCATGCCTGCAGTCTCTGCCTCAGCAGCTCCCATTGCTCATGGTTGTTGGGGATGGGGACAGCATGAGGAGCTTCTCTGATAAGCTCTCTGCCCAGGGGCCACAGGGACATGCTCACAGCTTCTGGGAGCTACACGAAGCCAGGGTGGGCAGGGAGTAGTCTTTTAATGGCCCAGTGTGCAGTGCTGATTGTTGTTGCCAGGATCCTATTTCGACTAGGTATGCCAGCTGAAAACCAGACGCCTGACACCCCTGGTATTCCTAGACCATAAAGTGCATGGGTGTGTCTAATCTAGCCTTAAAACCTCCAATGGCAGGGATTCCACAACATCCCTGGAAACCTATTCCTGTACTTAGCCTTACAGTTAGAAAGTGTTCGTTAATATCAACTCTCCCTTGCTGCAGATAGAGCCCATTACTAATTGTCTTATCTTCAGGGGATATGGACAACAACTGATCACAATCCTCATAACAACCACCTTTAACATATTTGAAGACCGTCTAATTGTCTGCTAACTAAATTTGCAGGATGGGATTGGACTCATTGACAAGCTTTTCTTTATGCATAATATCTCACTATTTTAAAAAACAATCAGTTACCACTGCAGTAGTGATACCTGCAACATCCTTTTTTATATACAAATTAGTAATTGCACATATAATATTGATGAGTGGATGCCCAAATGAGCACCATTATCCAGGGCATCAACATGAAGATGTTTTTGCAGAGACAACTGGAGAAGCAAATTATGAAGAGTTTGTTAATTGCAAGTGTTTTAATAAAAAGTTTGCCTACGTTCAATCGTTTAGAGGTTGTTTAATTTCACTGTAGTTTTTCAACTATATTTGAAGACTGTGCTTAAAAACTTTGTTAACTTCTTGTATCAATATTTCCTCATGTACTGTAATAGGTGCTATCCCCTTATTTCCTCCCAAAGCAATGGTACAGTAAGACCTTGTCTGCATTAGGAAACTGAACGACATTTAATCAAATTTTTAACTATTTAGTGTAACCCATGATTGTAACAAGAACAAGTTATGTTAGGCATCATGTCAGGTACTCATGGCATAATACTGAACTAGTCCTGTTTTTGTCTACATTCTGCAAAGTCAAGTTTCCTTTTTTTTTTTGATAGCTTACTTGATGGTTAATACCAGTGGCAAATAATGTTTAAATACAATACAATTCCTCAATATCAACAAGACTTTGGTGACCATTTTTCAACTAGGTAAAAAGACAGTAAATGTATAGTATAGTATAGTATAGTATAGTATAGTATAGTATAGTATAGTATAGTACTAGTCCTTCTTGCATTATTTCCATAGTTCCTTCACTTTTCTGAGTTTTAATTTTATTCTAAGAACTTAACATCTGCACATAGCTTGATTTTTATATAATATAGACCAGTGGTTTACAAACTTTTGTACTGGTGACTCCTTTCACAAATCAAGACTCTGAGTGTGAACCCCTCTAATAAACGAAACACACTTTTTACATTTAACACTATTATAAATGCTGGAGACAAAGGATGGATAAGGGGTGGAAGCTGAAAGCCTGCAACCCACCATGCAACAATCTTGCACCCCCAAGAGTTGTCAAGCCCCAGTTTGAGAAGCCATTAATATGGACATGTAAGTAGTTGAGCATGTCTCATGCAGAACATAATGAAAATCAGTATTTCACCCCAAAAATAGAATTTAAAAGGTCCAATATTATACATAATTCTGGGGCACAAATTAAATTTAAACCCAGCAGCTTTAAAAGAAAACTAAATCCATTATTTTTCTGCTCTTATATCTGTACGTTCAAAAAGTAAGACGTGTATTATGAATAAAATGTGCAAGTTAATAAAAAACACAAATTTTATTTATAATTTATATTTCTAAGTTTACTTCTAGAGTAGACACTTTGCTAAAGAACTGAAATAATCCGTAAAAATGTCAGTAAAGGAAGCCTATGTATGAGAATGTAAGCCACATTCCATTAGGTATCAACACTATAGTAGTGGTGTTTTGGAAATAGAGAAAAATGATACTTAACGCCTTTTGCAATATGTTTTGACATCTACAGATGAAAAGTACTATACAAGAGCTGGGATTTATTAAGAGACTAAACATTCTATAAAATATAGAGGTTTACATTTGAACACAGTAGACACGAATATTAATTATAAGTATCAATATAAAGTTTGGTCATGCAACCTTGCCCATAGAGAATAGTAACTTTTTTTTTTTAACTAAAAAGAAACAAGCCTCTCTTTAAATATCTGCCACAATTAAAAGGCCATCACATTTAAGAAAAAAAAAGGTTAAATATTCACAATGCTCACAGAACTTGAACCTATCTTTTAACAAGGAATGGCTATTCAGGGGTTAAGGTTATTACAACATTTTGTCATTGTAATTGATCAGAATATTTAGTCAGATCTCTGATGAAAGATTTATTATCTGAATGAAACCCTGTAATTGAAGTTCATATTCTGATTGAATTTAATTTACTGTACATTAATGCATACTTTAGTCTTGACACATTAGTGTTAGCTTGACACCAAGATCAACTAATTGAAATTGTATTGAAGAAAAATAATTTATTTCAATGGATCTTGAATTAATGACTACTTTGAATTAATGACTACTTCAGCAGTATGGCCTGGTGCATATTAATTTTTTAAAAGCAGCTCTTGCCAGAAAGTAGAAAACTAAGGGAAGTTAGAAGTACAAGTTAACATAACCGTGTTCAATTAAACGATAATAAAGTAACTCCTTAATAATTTTAGAGTTCTCTATTAAATATTTTTTTGTGTCTAGTCTAATATTCTGTAGCTACCTGTGTAGACTTCGATGTAAAAACATGACACATTTCAAAGCAGGTTCCTATGTTTACTAAAGTTGATAAAGTTAATTTCAGGTGAGGGTGAATGAGAAAAGCTGCTAATGAAGCAGAATCACAAAGGGCATGTCTTCACTTGCCATGCGAGAGGTTAACCTTCTGGCATTCAATTTAGAGAGTCCAGTTAAGACCCATAAATCAAACACTGAAGGCAGCTCTGGCTGGTGCCTATACTCCTCGCAATTGCGAGGAGTAAAGGAAGGCTACAGGAGCGTTTGCTCCCATCGGCCTCCTGCTGTGGAAACACTGCCAAGCTTGGATTAAGGTAAGCCGCCTCTAGCTACATATTCTACATAGCTGGAGTTGTGTACCTTAAGCTGACCTTCCAGGTCTACTGTAGACCTGGCCTTAGGAAAAACAGTATGTTTCAGCAATGTTGAGGAGATGGAGCTTGTGAGAAATCAACAGGTAATGAATGAATGGTAGTGAGCTTGAAAACTGAGCAGGAGTCCCAAATATGCTAGAATGGAAGGATAATAGGTGTCTGTAGGGTAATGAGAGAGCAACAAGCTTAGCAAAAACACAGCGTAAAGGACAAGAAGAGAGTCAAGGGTGATAAGGAGATGTGGAGGTATGAGTTTATATGCAGAGGAGATCAGGAATAGGCTCAATAGCCAGCAGCTAGGAAATGACGGAGAGAGAGGTGATGAAGAGATCTGTGAGAGCAGAGAAAGCACCAAAAAAGAAATAGATTGTGGGAAATAGAAAGAAGCTGTTTTTACAATCGGGCACCAATTATATTAGATCCACAGCCACCTCAGATTTTGATTATCACTCAGATCTTCCTAGCAGTTAGGGAGACGGAACTCAAATTCTTCTCTTCCGCATTATAAGTAGTTCTGATACCATCAGGTAGAAAATCAATTGTATATTTTTAAAAAAACTATCTACACACACGCACATGCATGCACCAGATATTGCATATCTTCTGTTCAGTTAGACAAAGCTCTCTTTCGAGTGTCTTGAGTCAACAGGATTTTATCAGGTCTGTAACGATATATGTATATATGAAATGTTCTAATACAAACAAAAAGATTCTATTCAACAGTACTTTAAGTAACATATCCAAGATACCTACTATTTTGCGTTTGATCATATACAGAGGAAGTTTTGCATGCAGAGGGGTTACAGACAGCTCCTTATGGACCGTTGATAAATACAATCTTCTTTTAATGTTTCCTAAATCAGTTACCCTGTAAAGAAAAAGTGTGGGGGGAGGGGGGAAGAGAGAAGAAATGGATCTTGGTCAATTCAATAACCTATCTTGGGCAACCACAGAAAACTATGATTCATATGCAGAACTTTTATATCAGGGATAGCAAATGGGGAATTTAAGAATTAGCTCTTTTATAAGGTAAGTAATGGGATTTCTTTCTCAAATTCAAACTTAGTGGCTACAAGCCTGCGTGTATAAAATCACTTTACATGCTAATTTTATTTCAGAGCTCTACACTCTCCACTGGATTTCCACAGCCCTTCAGCCTATGAAAGAATTCAATTTGTATGAACTGAGAAGCCACTAGCCTCTAATAATCATGCTTATTTTGGTCCCTTAAGCTTGTGTTATCTTGGCACACAATGTCACCTACTAAATAGGAAAACATTATGGGCTTTCTTTTCCTAAAAATGCACCTGTCATTTTATATAGGCTCTTTCTTGGCTTAAAGATAGACACAAAACATTGTCTGTCGGTTTCACTTCCTGAGCACATCTCTCTAACCCTGAATTATAATACATAAATTTATTGCTTACTATTTAGGTCATCTCCCAGTGACACCAAGGAGACTAAATTTGAACATCGGTAATAGATTTAGACCACTATCATGATCACAAAGATTAGGCTTGCTTGAAATTGGTAAAGAGGCACATTTTTTTGTTCTGCTTCCTTCAGGTCATACGGGTAACACAACAGGCTTAACATCTCTCTATCCAGCCCACACTCTTATGCTGAAAACTGATGTTAACTTAAAGGCTATCTTTTATATCTGGAAATTGTGATTAATTCATTTGCTATTTGAAAGTAACTTTGTGCATTTCTATTAGGCTGATAGTTTTCTACAAGTTAGAGTACCGCTAAGAAGTGATGATTCATTCTCACAGTCAACTTTCCATCAATGTTTAGAGTTTTGATTTTTTTTCTTTTTAAGCCTACTTAGAAAACGTGAAATCTAAATGCAGTGTTTCTGTTTCAAATGGCAAGAAACTGTCCCTCATATATATCAACTCT